TGCCTCCGGGGCTCGGTGTGTGCACGGTGGGGAGCGCCGGGGGCTGCTTGGCTCCGCTGCTGCCCTTGCACGCTTTGATTATCTGGGGAGCATGAGCAGCATGCTCCTAAATCTCCTCCCACACAGAGAGGAAAACGGTCCCCGCAGGAGGCCCGGGGAATAAATGTCTTAGATTTGGGGTCTTTCTCCTCTAGGCTTCCTCGCTATCTGCCACCCCAGCCGCAGCTGCTCTCGCGGGCCTGCGTCTCAAACTCCAATCGCAGTCCTGTGTCACTTTGCTGGATGTCTGCTCTTCCCTCCTGCTTTGCTGTTTTCCCTCTGATTAAGACCTTCAAGCCAGATGTGTGGGACGGTGCTCAGCATCTGTCCACATCTGCAGGCTTGCATCACAGCCATTTCAGGATAAAGGGACAGCTTGTAGCAGTTTTCACCCGTTGCAGAGCAGCCAGCTGAGGCACTGTGCTCTGGCACTCCTTAGTTAAACATCTTCTCGTCCAAATTGGAACTACCAGCTCTCCTGGAGAAACCAGAGGGATGGTGGGGATTTTATCCAGGTGTTTACTCAGACCTTGGTGCTTTCACATCATTTTGGCCGGATTCGATGTTGTCGTGCTCCTCTATCGTGCCTAGGGATGTTGCGATGGTTAATCGGTCAGATTTGCTTTTTCCTATTTAAAATTGCCTCTTAAGACATATCTGCTTTGAGCGGAGGCAGCGTTTCACCGTCGCTGCAATGACAGCAGGGAGGTCTGCTGGTGATCAGAGGTGAGGTTGCCTAATTTTCATCTGCCAGATACAGCATGGCTTCTTCTGGAGACCCCCCGGCGCAGGTGGGGTGCTGTGTGGAGGGTCTGCTCGTGCTGTGGGTGCCAAAGAGCTGGCACAAAGGTGCAGGGGGCTAAGAGCATCTGCTCTGAAGCACGGCTTGAGTCGTGCGGATAGGTTTGTGCTCGAAGGTGGGAGAGGAGGGATGTCCTGCGGTGACTCGATCGTGATTCCTGAAGCTAAGTTGTGTGCCCAGAGCCAGGGTGTGGGTTATTGCTGGGAGACAGGACTTTTTATTTGTGGTTTCTCTTCCTCAGTAGGAGGGTAGCCTGGAAAGCCAGAAAACGCAACTAGAGTTGTAGTGGGAGGAAACTAACGCCAGTGCCCAGGGCAGTGAACGCCGTGGGCGAGATTCATTTACTACTTAATCCCAGGTCTCCCAGGTGCCAGGCAGGCACTGTGTCAGCATCACGGGATCTCTTTTGAGCGGAAACAGCTGGGGGGTCCGGTGTATTTGTCAGCCCGAGTCAGCTGTGAAGATCATGGCAAGCAGCAAGGACTGTTTTCCCCATTGCATTAGTAACGGGTGTGTTAATTGTAAACTGAAACCGGAGGGCCTGCCTCTGGCTTCTGAGCTATCCCCTTCCCCCATCTCACCTTGGCCAGAGCTCTAGGTCAGGGTCAGGAGCCGCTTGCAGGTGCTCTTGGTGCCAGATCAGTCTTTCTGCAAGTGATCACAAGTGGGACGTTAGCAATGTAGCTCCCTTTGTTTTGAGGCGAGCAGGTATGTGCACTTGAGTCCAGTGAGGAAAATAATACGGATGTTCTTCACCTCTAAACCTGGCTGCCATTGCCTGGGCGAGATGTTAGAGGGTTCCATGAGATCCAGGAGCATATCTGCGAACAGCCGGAGAGGGACTAGGGCTTGGGGAGAAGTTTTGTACCTTGTGAGGTTAAATTTGCCAAGAGCAGGAGCCCAAGGAGAAACTTCTCACCACTCCTGGGCAAGGTGGCACCAATGAGAAACCAAGGAGACTTTTCTGGAACACCAGTTACGTAAATTGCCCTGGGATCGCTGCCATCCAGGTTAGAATCCAGCTTCCTCCAACCTTTGCTTACTGAGTCATGGAGCAGAGGTGCTGTCACCCCACTGGTGGAGGCATCAGTCCTATTGTTCAGGGATTTGGGGTTTTTCCACTGTGCTCCAGGAGCATTGGCTGTCTGCTGCTGGGGACGAGTCATGGCTGGTGCCCCTTGTTCCAGCTGGTGCCCACCAGGGCTCAGCCTGGAGCCGTGCCGGGGAAGTGCGTGGAAGTGGGCAGCAGCAGGAGCTTGAACTGATCCGCTGCAGGATACAAGTCCTGCTGTCCTGGGGACAGCTTCATAATACTTCGTAATACTTCTTCCTTTCTCCCCCCTGCCCCGTTCTCTCTGCTGCTTGCATTATTCAGAATATTGCTTATGTAGTAGAAAAATCTGGCTGGGGCAGAGTACAAGCGATAGAGAGAGGAGCTGAATGACTTCATCACCATAGCGATGGATACTGTCATCAGGGCTATGCTTTTCTTTAAACTCTTGTCTCGTTACCCAAACACACGGCAACACAGCTGACGTGGGATTACGCCAAACCCAACCACTTCAAGCTAATTATTTTTGCCTGTATATGTGTATCATCCTTTGAGCAGGAACTATTCATGAATAACTCTCTTTTTCAAGCATCTTAGCTGAACAATGCATAAAGCAATGATCAAAAGATAGGGGAGGAAGCCGAGCAACTTTTGTCTCTGATACGCCTGGTGCATAGACTCCTCTGTTTGGGCTACGTGAGTTCTTTTGGAGATCTTTATTTTTGCAGACTCATTTCCTTTCTCTGAACTGCAATATGCAAGATCCATAAATTCCACTTAATAATAAAATGCCTCGTTCTTGTGTCAAACTAGCAAAAGCAATGGGATGAAGGGTTTCTTCCCTCATTCCTTCCTGCTTGGATGCTTCACGATTCATCAAAGTTGGGTGAAAGAGCATCTTTGGGTATTTGGGACCCTTGTTATGTTGTATATGGGCATCTCAAAAGTGACTAGTCAAAACCTAGAGGTCCAGAAATAGCAGCAGGCTGCTTTTCTAAGCAGAGCTGTCGATAATCCGGGATGACTTGTGCTGATGGTGCTAACTATAGAACGCAGCCCTTGATGGCAGCAGGAGCGGGCATGGTCTCACACAGTCCTGGCAGGGGTGAGACTCGCCCAGGTTTCAGATCAGAGCCGCACTTTCCTGTTCTGTAAATTGCTCCCTGTGCCGCAGATTATGTGGAATTAAAGGGATTTAAAATACAAGATGTCCTAAGATAAATATCTCCCAAGTTCAACCAGGCTGGCAGTTGTGTAACCGAATGCATTTGTTTTCCAGGATACTTTTCTGGGTGCTATTAAGAAAACTTGTGAGAGCAGCATGTGTGCAGAAGGGCTTTTGCATTACCTCTCGGGCAGTTTTAGCTGTTGCTCGCCCGGAGGTGCCCTCACTGCCCAGCTGCCGCTCCACGTGCCCATCAGATTAGCTCTGTAATCCCCATTTCCACTCACCGTGGAGCAGTGCTGGCTTGGGAAGCTGCAGGGACAGGCTGCTGGCCCCCAGTGAGGCTGATGCCCCTGCCTTCTTGGTAGCCCAAAGCCCTGCTCGCCCACCACCTGCATCAGCTCCTTACTGCCCTGAGCACCCAGGGGAAGGAACTGTGCCTCCCTCCTGCAGCAGGTATTGACTGGCTGCTGCCTGCGGGGAGATCTTCAGGGTTGCTCTCGGAGTAGGACATTCGGGAGGCTCCTTTCCAACCCCAAGAACAATGTGCTGTAAGGGGCTTTCTGGCATGGAGGCAAGCACATGCACTCGCTAACACGCCATGCCTGCTGTGCAGGAATAAAGCATTTTAAAGAGACAAATCTCAAACCAAGAAACCCACAAACTATTTCAACTTTACTTACGACGCGGTGAATGGCCGCATTTTATCTCTGGAGGTGATGAGTCTGTAGCTCTGAGTGTGTTTCCATCTTGGACGCTTACAAATGGCTCTTGAATTCCATATGAGGGAATAAGGACTGGGTTTGTGCTGGGGTAGAACAAAAGCACTTGGCTCTAAATACTGCAATTCTCTCCTTACACATCTGCCTTATGTCAGCTTGAGAAAGTGACTGTTTCACCAGGAGCTTCATCCCTCTAAGACTGTGAACTTACACGCCTAGGAAACCTCCCTGGCAAGGACACCGTTCTCTTTCTTTCCACATCCCTTCCATCCCCAGGTAGAATGGATTTCTGTCAAGAGCAGTGTGTAGGACAAGTGTTCCTCAGGGTAGGGAGCTGACGAAATGCAGCGCTCGAAAGGTCTGGCAGGTGCCGAGGTAGCACCCGGTGTCTCCTGGCTTATCCTTGAAGTTGAAGGGTTGGACAGACCCTGCATTCACTCACCACATGCTAGTCTTCCCAGAGGAATAAAAAAGCATGTCCCATGCATCAACTCGCCCCTCTCCCGACACGTGCCTTGTAGATCTGTTCTCCAGACTGTGCGCCAGGCACTGCTTCCCTCTGTCTGACACGGAAATTTTACTTCTTAAGCTGTTTTAGACATAAACAGCTCTCCCTGAGCTATGGTTTTGATTAGCAGTGAGATATGAATTGTTGATCAGTGACAGCTGAGCCAGTAAACATAAGCGTGTTTCCAAGTCTGGTTATCTTGAGCGCAGCATCTCCCCCCTCTTTGCAGAGGCTATACATAAACACAAAATCTTACTTCACTTCTTAGCTATTCTTTGTGCTAATGGCACCAAGAGCTCCGTGTACACATCAGGGCAACGTTCCTCTGGAAGAACTTGGCTTGCATGGTAGTGCTATTGCTTTTTTCGGTCATTGTCTGAAAACGCTTAGGAACTTAAGCCCAGTTTAAGTTGGTACTAAGGTGACTTGTGGAGCTCAGAGTGGATCCATAGAAATGTAAATACTGCAGGGCCAGCGTCCAGCCAAGAGGCAGGTCTTCTCCCCAGCGATTTGGTGGTAACTCCACGTTGTGGTAGGACTAAGCTGTTCTGCGAGGTGCTGCAGGCAGCACAGTTTGGGCTGAGATGGGAGTGAAGAGACCTAAAAAAATATATATGGATATATGGAGGATCTGGACTATTGTCTGTGGATCTGAATTATCCAAAAACTAAACTTCTGCTTAAATGTAGCTCTTTGGCATTACCCCTTTTATTGTGAGCTAGCCATGAGTTAGCCAAGCAGTTTAAAACCAGCAGTGATGGCCTCCTATGGGAAGCAGAAGAGTGTGAACCTGGAAGCATCCATTGAATGTTGTAGAAAGCGAGTGCAGCATTAGAGGGAGGTTTTCTCAGCGGCCCCAAAGCTCTCTCAGGATCAACAATTGTAAGTTTTGCTTTGTATTAAAAGGAAGCAAGTTAAATTTGGCCCAAGAAGGAGAAGGGGATAGTGTAGTCCTAAGGCAGATGTCAGGTTGATGTCCCCTTGCTTCTCCAGGGAGGGAGCTAGCTTTGTTTCTGTTAGATTCCTGAAAGACTCTAAAACCCAGGAATTCAACTAAGAATCTGAGGTTGAAATACCGTTGCATCGCACCTCTTCTCTTGGGCCATAACATCTGAAGAGAAGTGAATAAATTTGCCTTGTTCTTTCAAAGAAAGGACTTCCATGAATTTTTGGAGTTTGAGACTGTAGTGCAAATAGACGTCAAAGCAAAATCTTCTTGCCCTTGTTTTTCTCCGCAGTCTGCAGAAAACCTTTTGTACCTGCTTATCCTGCTCTGAGTATCTACATCTAATTAAATCCCACACGCTTTTGCTCTTGCTGGCTTCTCCAGGCACGGTGCTGTGCTGAACCTGATACGTCTTTGGTTCAGCACTTGGTGTGACCGGCCGATGCTCCTTCAGGCGATTCGGGTCACCTGCTGTGACTTTGGACAGAGTTCCAGCAGCAGGAGCTGGGCTTGCAAGCCAGAGGAGGCCTGGAGCCAAGCAGGTGGTGCGGATTTCCAGCAGCTGTATCGGCCGCGATAGGATAATAAATAACTGATAAACATTCGTATGAAAGCCAGTGTCATGGCAAAATGGCTATTTAACTGCACTCTAGCACTGCTTTCCCATCTTCACCTGATCTCCCCTGCTTGCTTCTTCCCGTAGCCCCAGAGAAGCAGGGGCAGGGGAAGCCACAAGGTGGGTGCAGGAGGGCTGGGATGGTGCAGCTGCACGGCTGCGTCTCTAGAGCAGTTTCTGCAGCTCGTGGTGCTGAGGGTGAGACTCCTGTACCCACCACCCCAGGGATCCACGCCTGAGGAGGGCAGGGGCACTGTCCGCCCCACAAGCGATGGTATATAGGGAGCCCTGATTTCAGCTGGGGGGAGTGTGGAGAGTCTTTGAACAAGAGCCCTTTTTTTTTTTTTTAGTAAGTTTTTTTTCCTTGGCAGAGAGTGTCCCCTTGGTGTATGGGGAGTGTTCAACCATCTTGTCCTATGTCTGAAGGTGGCATCATCCCCTGTTTGTCCTGCATGAAAGGCTCTCAAAGTTTGTAAGGGGCTGTAAGGAGCGGTCCCGTGCCTGGTGTGTGCTAATGGCAGGTTCTCTTCCTTTGCAGAATGGGCAGGCTGCTACAGAAGAAGGTGGGAATCCTCCATCCAAGGTAAAAATACTCTGGGGTTACATCTTAAAGTCATCCCTCTGAGCTGCGTGGGGGGTGTGAGCTGACTTGGGGAATGGGTTGGGGACAGCTATTTTTAAATCCTGTAAGCTGCTGCTTTGTAATCTGGATGAGTGCATGTGGGAGCGTAAGGGACTGGAGTAGGGGAAGAGAAAAGATAAACCCTCTTTCTTCCCGTCCCTTTGGTCATCCAAACGTATCTGGAAAGTTTCCCAAAGGGCCACCTCAGTCCAGCACACAGGAGATGGATCGGAGGCCGTAGGAGAAGGCTAGAAGCGAGAATCCCTGGGGTGTTTCAGTGCCAGGTTTACATCCTTCTCTATGTTGTGATCTTGCCAGAAGAGCCATCAAATACAAGAGTTTTTGATGGTTTTGGCATAGCTGCCCTTGCTGAGCGCCTGATATTTGTTTATTCCTTTGCTTTGGTGGGGCTGGAAAAAGCTCCACTTCTGTCAAGTTGCCCTCTGCATCCCCATTAGCATCAGCAGGGAATGGTAGAGGGAACTGAGCTTCTGTCTTCCATGGTTTGGGCAAGGGTCTTAATCTGCTAGGCCTTCTTCAGCAACCTGAAGCTCTTCCTGCTCCACGCATGATCAGTGTGATGTTGAAGGACTTGATTTCTCTGATGCGAGCCCTCTCCAAGTGTGAGACCAAGGACCGATGTTGTTAGCATGGGTATTTCCTAATTGTGCCCATACTTCTCTGTCCTGCAGGACGCTGTGCAGGTTAGGAAAGCCGTATCATGCCAAGCCTTTCAGGAGTTCCTTTTCTGATATGTACATGCTATAACCGTGAAGAATTACACTACATGTTTGGCTTGGGAGACCTTGCCGAACAGGCTGTCAAGAGTTTGCCCTGTGCCTTACCCTCAGCGAGTGCCCTGTAGCAATTTCTCTCTCTGAATCATCATCCGTGCTAAAGCCCACGGGGGCTTATTGTGTTGTTTCCCCAGTTGGTCACAGTTGTATTTTTAGTAAAAGAAATTTAAACCTAAAAAACAATTGTCTGCTTTGCAGCCAGTTCTTTTCCAGGAACTTATGCTGGACTAGCATTGCCATTGCATCTCAGCTACCTGTTCTGCATTTCTGTCCCAGTTGCTGGACTGGCACTTTTCCAGTGGCCTGCAAGAAATCTGGCGTGGGGTCAGATGAACTTGGGTCAATGAGACTGTGTGTTTCCCTCCCCCAAGAATAGTGGTTTTATGGTTCTTCACTGTGCCTGCATCTCTGGCATGGGAAAAAAAAAAATCTGTCTCTCCTGGTTGGATTCCAGCTGGGCTTCTAAGACTTTAGACTTTGCCTCTTTCATCTTCAAACGCTTGGCTGAACTGCCCTCCCGTAAAAGCCACTGAAGGATGTTGCTTTAAAAATAATTGAAGATTTTTTTTCTTTGAAGGACATCACTGGGCCAAATCCTGGCTGATTCTATCTGTAGATGCAGCCCCACAGAAAGATCATGTGATAGAGGCCAAAAAGCACTTGGGGGTGTTTGCTGCTCTGGGTCTGTCCCTCTGTGGGACATGAACGGGAAGTCCACATTGCAGCTGGGATGCTGGAGCAGAGCGGCAGGCAAGTTGTCCAACATCCCACAGCAGGGAAACCACAAGGGCCCTGTGCAACGTGCAGGTGCCCTGCTTTCCACTTTTCCAAGGCACAGTGGCCAAAATCCCTGTGAGCGGTGTCTGATGATCCCATTTTCAGTAACTTTTGAACACGTGAAGCCCTGCTATGTGCTCCTGAAATAACCTCTGTTGTGTTTTCCAAGTTTGTACAAGGTATGTTTGCTACCAGCACAGACAAATGAAATCCCTCCTATAAACACATACGTTCAACCTCAGGGCAAACTCTGGCACTCTGAGCCAGCTGTGACGCTGCAGATGGGGGCAGCAGGCAGCACGCTCAATATCTTTGTATTTTTCTGTTCATCTGGGGGTAGACGCCAGCAGCAGCTTCTGGCACTGGCTCTGCCTACAACAAGGACTAAGGAAGGAGAAGTAAGCGGCAGTAAGCACCTGAGGTTGGCTATTCTCAAACTAAAGGTTGCTCAGGATCCCTCCCATGCCCTTCTGTTCCAGCTGAGTGTGGAGAGCCGTGGGGGAAAGAGGCACCTTTATTCTAGGTTTGTACTTGCTATCCTTTTGCAGCTAACTCTGCGATCTCTTCTAAAAATAGCCTGAAGCAGCGACAGCGGCGATTACTCAACACCCACGCAGAAGTGCCATCCCTCCCCCTGTCCCCGTAAGTAGGCTGCTGCCAGAAGTACAATCGTTATTTGCCTGGGCAATAACCAAAGCCACTTTGCAAAGGAGGAAATCCAAGAGTTCCTCAAAAGAGTTGGGAACTTTGCAGCTGGTAGCGCGAGGCTGATGCAGTCTAATGCCTCCGTCATCATCTCACCCTGCTGTCGTTGCACATTAGGGTCTTTGGGCATGAAATGCAATGAAATGGTCACTGCAGAGGTAGTGAGGGGATGTTTTGGGCCAGGCTGGCTGTGGTCTGGTACTTTCTAGCTGCCTTTGTAGCTCCAGCTTAGCTTCCTACCGAGGACAGCTGGTGCGTTTCACAACTTCTTGTGGCTTTTGCTCCTTTTCCCACCTTTCAAGAACAATTGTGGTACACAAGTCCCTGCAAGCATCGCGCCTCGGTGTCTTTTATCTGAGTATCTTGGAAATGCCTGCAAGGTCCTACAGGTTGGGCAGAGAGCTGTCTGGAGCATCTGCCTCCCTCTGCATGGTCACAGGGAAAGGGGCCTGGGTCTGCAGTCAGGGCCATCCCAACAGCATTCCAGCTCTGTGGCTGTAAGGAATTCCAAGCTGAACCCTGTCCTGACAGCGAGCGCAATCCTAGATTGCTCAAGCCCAAATCCTTGCTTATCGGGATGTTCCCAGTGTGTCCCTACTGTAAGAGCTAGCAATCTGCCAGGCGCTCCTGGCCACATCCCTAAAACCAAATTACTGATCCAACGCTATATTGAACGGGAGCTGTTGGCAAAGATAGGTACAAGGATGGCTTTTTGGTTTTTCTCTCCTCTTTGGCGGTGGTGTTTGACCTGTTTAAATTTGCTGTTGGCTTTAGGATAGCAGCAGTGCAGTTGGTGCAGGGTTTCAGTGCAACGTCTGCAGGATGCTGGACGGAAGGGCTGCTCTTTAGCATTCGTGTTGGTGGTAGAGGAGCAGGACTGCTGATTACGGAGCAGAATTGCTGTCCTGATATCCTCTGCCTTTCAGGGCTTGGGGCTTGCTTGCTTCCCGTTCTACCTGTTTGCTTTGACACAGCCTGGGCTGACACCGAGAGAAGCATCTCCTGTGACAGCCTTGGGTTCACCTCAGCTGCGTCTCTGCTCTGGTCAGAAGCAGAACGAGTGCTTTCTTGCCTTGCTCTTAAAAGCTGCTTTGCCCCAGGGGGTAAGCGGCAGCACTGTGCCTTGGTCTCTAGGTACTGAACCTCATTCTCTTCTGTGTTCTTTAGGTTTTAATTGTCAGGTAGGCTGAAGATTGGTCCTTGTTCAGCTGGGGAACGGCAACAGAGGACTTGAATTCAGTGGAAAAATGGAACCTCTCATAATTGGGGTTTTACAGCCTGCTCTGCAGCCGGCTTGGCTGAGAGGTGAGCCTGTGCTCCCTGAAGGTGCCAAGTGTGAGGAATTATGCAAGAAAGTACAACACCCAATTAGTGAAATCACTTCATAATGAAGAGCAGAGGAGTGGATTTGCAGTGCTGAGTGTGCCCACTCTCTCTCTGGAGGTAACGCTGGTGCGGGCTGGGAGCGCTGATCGTCTTGTTCTTGGGTGACAATCACAGTGTGCAGTGAAAACTGGGGAAGTGAATAAGTAACCTCTTCCAGCTCTGCTTTGCACCATAAAAGAGACCTTTGAGACTGGAGCGAGGGCTTGCACTGCTGTGCACACCAGGCATGAGGTGCCCCACCTGCTTAGGCTGGGTCTTGCTGTTAGGCAGCAAACCGCAGTGGGTTGCAGTAAAGGGGAAAACAGGGCTCTGTCCCAGGTCTGTGTAGCTCCTGCTGATTTATCCTCATGTCCTGACAAAGTAAAGCTTGCAGAAAGATCTGCCCCCACAGTATCAAGTGGGAAGCTGAAAGCAGGAGACCTGGGCATGGACATTTCTGGCCAGAGAAATACCTGCGTCGCCAGTGTTAGCATTAGTTTGTGTCGTTCTGGGTGAAACGCCCTGTTACAACACTTCAGTGTCAACAAGGTGCAGTTGCAGTCTCAACCCTGTACTGTAAATCTTTAGGATGAATTGGAGGAAGGAGGGTTGTAGCCATCTACCTGTGATAGCTGAGAGATTCTGCAGATTCTGAGGCTGCTCAGTGCCGGTCCTCTGTGTGGTTCAATAGCAGCAGTCTGCTGCTGGAAATAAGGCTGGTTCTTATTTTTGCTAAACTCCTTATGTACCTGCCGAGGTACTCGAGCCCAGCTCTTTGCTCGTGCCTGCAAACTCAGTGTAGCTGGAGAAGCTTTCCTGCAGGCTGGACTTCACTGCTGGCGAGGAATCCTGCTCTGATGTGGGAAATTTTCATGCTCCTCCAGCAGGATGTAAGAGAGGAAGGCTTTGTGCTGCTCCATCACGGCATACTGCGTTAGTGCTTGCTCATAGCTCTGCTTTCCGACGGTACGACTCTCTCCTTCACCCAGACTTTGCGCTGTGTGCCTTGCTGTAGGCTTGGCTGGCTGGCAGAACGTCCATGGACGGTTGTCCTGGCTTCTCTGGAGCTGCATCACTAAGTGAGTGGTTGGAAGGGAAACTTGAAGCACCTTTTCACAGTGGGGGAGGAAGAAGGAGTCATCCGAGACCTGCTGGCCACCGAAGAGCAAGTCCTGCGTGCCCACCTAGTGCCCAGGTGATGGAGAGCTCTCCCTGCGCAGTCTGCACGCTGCCAGCGCTGCACATGAACTCCAGCTCCAGGCTGAGTGCAAACCTTGTTGACAGAAGACATGTCCGGTGGTTTGATCCTCATCACTA